TTTCAATGAATTCGTCCCCCCCTAAAGTTTCTTCGAACTTTACTTGACGCTGTCGCAAAACTTTCGTCAACTGGTTTGGCGCCAGTCGTTGATCAACTTTGATGTGGCGACGCAAAACGACGACTGCTTGTCGACGCTCCGGATGCTACCTGTCCCCACATTGTACCTGTGACTACCAATCACGGACAAGCAACCACCAAAATCTCGCGAATCGCAGAGCTTGGACGCGAACTAGGCCGATTCGCTCCATCCTTCGCAATTTTCCCCACTCCATCGCTTTAGCCCCTTGCTGCGAACCCCCCTTGCTTGAAAATTCGTTCGCGAGTTAGTTTCCGTACCCCTTCGCCGAGTCGCTTCGTCAAGAATGCCCGAGTCGCCAATGCTCCGTAGTGAAATGTCTCAATGTCCACCTTCAATTCCCACGTTGAAATTCACGCATTTCCATGTTCCAACCCATCAGCCGACATCTTCGGTTCGAAGCCCCTGTCTAGCACGGCTGCGAAAACTCCACCTCAACACCCCTCCTCGTTTCTCACATCCCTTCGACTTGCGGCAGTTAGCCTCGGAGCCGCAGTGCCCTAAACCCTTTCTCGTACCACCCGCCTCCACAATAACGCTGACTAGCTCTCCGTGCTGTACCAAAAAAATGGGCCCAGTTCGGCTGTCGGCGCTCCATGCGTCTGTATTCCTTCTTCTCGCCTCGGCTGTTCTGGTCGGTGCAGAAGACTATCTCGGGTTGCCCACATCCAAGTACGAGCACGAATGGGCCAAGTATCGGCAACCTGACGGGCTCCTATCGCTCGACTACCTGAAGGAAGGCGGCGATGGCGACAAGATCAGAGGACGGAAGGCCATGGAGAACCTCTTCGAAGTCGTCTTCGTAAGTCGAAATCGTAACTTCGTGAAGGAATTCTCTCCATGAACGCATGCTTGTCGTCGAATACTGATGCGTATCATAAAGCTCCTTGCTTCGTACGCCGCTCGGGCGTTTGACATCGCGAAATCGCTCATTCACGCTCCCATGCAATTCCATTCCGCGCCTCTTCCCCTACGTTTCCGCAGTGCTCCGCGCTCCCGTCGAAGCAAGTGCTCCCGAACAACCTCTTCCAAAACCCGGAATTCACGGAAGGCATCGACCCGTGGCAGGGCTTCGGCTGGTCGTCCGTGTACGCGGTAAAAGACGCCCGGCTAAACTACGGCGTGTGCACGAACCGATCCGAAGCCTACGCCGGCCCGATGCAATCCGTTTCTAACCTGCCGGCCGCGTCTTACGAGATGATCGTCTGGGTCCGGCTGAACGCCGGCGACCGGCAGTACGTGAACGCGAACGTCAACATTAACGGCCAGTACGTCTGCATCGGCGGCGCGATCGCCAAATCCAACTGCTGGACGAAGCTCATGGGTGGATTTACCCTACATAGTCCACTAGACAAGGCTAGTATCTACATCCAAGGGGCGACTCCCGGCACTGAGATATGGATCGCGCAGGCGTCGCTGCATAAGGTGGATAAGGACGATTGGCTCGCGCAGCAGAAGGCGAGCATTGAAAAGCATCGCATGCGCGACGTCGCGTTGACGGTGAATGGAAATAACGGACAGCCTGTGGACGTGGTGATCAACCAGATTCAGTCGGATTTTCCGTTTGGCGGAAACGTTAACGGCGCGATCCTTTACGACCAGAACTACCAGAAGGTACGGATAGCGGAATGGGCCTGGATTTTTTCGAATCAGCCACAAAATCTCTCCCAAATTGGAGGCTCCACCAGTTTTTAGAGCCTGACGAACGCTTGCGAGAACCACGTTCACAAGCTCATAGTGCTTGCTTTATCTTGCTCCCTTTTCCTCACCCCCCGTTTCGCCTTTCCCCTCCGCTTTCTCCATCCCCTCGTTACAGTGGTTCAAGGCTCGCTTCAACTGGGCCGTGTTCAATAACGAGGGCAAGTGGTACTTTAACGAGGGAGTCAAGGGTGTAGAGAATTACACTGTAACGGACGCGATGACAAACTGGTTTCGCGAACGAAACATCAACGTTCGCGCGCACAATCTGTTCTGGGCAGTGGAGAATTTCGTGCAGCCCTGGGTCAAGGTGAGCATTGCTACACTCCGTACGCTTTACAATATCATTTGGCTCTGCTCCCCAGATCATCCGGCCTTTCACTCCCTTCGCGCCCTCCCCCTTTCCCCACGCCTTCCCTCCCGCCATTCCACTTCAACCTCCCATCAATGCCCTCTCCCCCCCCTTCCCCCCCCTTTTCCCCCTTTTCCCCCCCCTTTCCCCCCCTCTGCCCCCCCCCTCTGCCCCCCCCTCCCCTCTCGTTCCGCCTGTTCAGGCCCTCAACGACCAGGACCTGTGGGCGGCGATGCAGCGAAGACTGAACCATGCGGTAACCCGTTACAAGGGGCAGGTGCAGCACTGGGACATTCTCAACGAGCCGCTGCACGGCAACTACTTCGCGGACCGCCTAGGCCCGCAGGTGCACGAGTGGATGTACAAGGCTACTAACGCGATCGACAATAACGCGCAGCTGTTCATTAACGACTATAATACGGTCGAGGAGTGCGACGGCGTGTCGCATCCCGAGTATTACCTCGCGAAGGTGTGGGCGATGACGACACGTGGCACGCCGATTACCGGGATCGGCGTCGAGTCGCACTACAGCAAGGAGCCGCAGCCGGTGAGTTGGTAGCGGGTGCGGAGTGCGCAGAATGTAACAACGTTACCAGATCGATTCGTATAGCCAAGATGACAGAGTCGCACTACAGCAAGGAGCTGCAGCCGGTGAGTTGGATGAGAGGGGGCCTGTGAACTAGTGCGCTAAGACGGAAAGTAACCTGAACCAAAATCGAGTAACAAGTAACCAGTAACTAAGTAATGCTACAGCAAGGAGCCACAGCCGCAGGGAGTCTCCAATGCCCTCGCTTCTCTCGCGGGCTCGCCTGAGGCACGATCTGAACCAACAAGGTGCCCAACGACGCGACCCTGCTTACCCCGTGCTGCTCTCCTCCCTGATTTTGCTTTTGCAGGGAGTTTTTGAAAATTCTCAAAAACTCCCCCCGTTTCCCGCCCTCGTTTCCTCGCAGGCCCGTCTGCGGCACGACCTGAACCAGCTCGCAGTAGCGGGAATCCCTATCCGGTTTTTGAGTCGACTCAAAAATCTATCCGGCTCACAGAATTGGACTTTTAACTAAGTGCCCGAAGATTTTTTCCGCCTGACTCCCTCCTGCTCGCCTCCCAACTCCCCCGTCATCTCCCGCAGGCCCGTCTGAGGCACGACCTGAACCAGCTCGCGGTGGCGGGAATCCCGATCTGGCTCACCGAATTGGACTTCAACAAGGTCCCCGACGACGCGATTCGCGCCGACTACTTCGAGTCGGTCATGCGCGAGGCGTTCGCGCACCCCGCCGTGCGCGGGATCGTGAACTGGTCCGCAGGGCGCGCCACGTGTGATAAGTACAGGGACGTGGACCCCGGCATGTGCGAGCCGTGCGAGGCATGCTTCGCGGACTCCAACTACGTCGATAACGAGCTCGGGAAGAGGTGAGGAACGCTTCGGGCATTTCTCTGTTGCATCTCCCTCCTTTATTGACCCCCCCCCTCCCCCCACCCCCCAACCTCCTCCCCTCCTCCTCCGAAGTCTCCCCCACCTCCCCTATGTTCTCTCTGCTTCGCGGACACACCAACTTGGTGTTTAAAGAGTCTGCTTTTGACTCGACTCAAAAGAACTCCAACTTGGCGGTTCTTGGAGTTGAGTCAAGAACTCCAAGGAACTCGGGAAGAGGTGAGACGCGCTTCTTTCCCCTCTTGGATGAGGGGGGGGGGGAGCATTGCTCTGTCGCTTACCCACTCCCTCTCTCCCTCCCGGTCTCCCTCCCTCACCCAACTTCGTGGAAGTGGTGAGAGCCACTCCCTCTACCACTTTCACTCCCCCTCTCCTCCCTCACTCCCTCACTCCCTCACTCCATACCCTTCCCTTGTCCCCCTCTTCTCCACTTTTCTTGTTCCCTGCTCTGATTCTCCCTGCTCCTCTCCCTTCTCCCCCACGCAGAGGTATGTGCGCCTGCGCAAGGAGTGGAGCGCGGATCTCAACGCCCGGGTCACTCCAGGAAGCTCCTTCCACTTCTCTTACCCTCCTCTCTTCTCCTCTTGCTCCCCCCGCACCCCCCCCCTCCCCCCTCCCCTCTTTCCTCCCCCGCGCAGGTATGTGCGCCTGCGCAAGGAGTGGAGCACGCATCTCAGTGCCCAGGTCACTCCCGGCCAGCCCCTCGCCTTCAAGGGATTCCACGGCACGTACCGCGCTCGCTTCCAGGTCAACGGGCAGACCGTCGAAAAAACTTTCCATGTGCCCAATGGGCAGGGAACAGCTCAGATTACCATCCAGCTGTAGAGCGGATATTAGCTGTGATGTTAGGGATAATGCATCCTTTAGTGAGCTAGGAAGCCAAGGCTATCTACAGATAGGCTAGATTGAGAATGTAGCAGCTAGCTACATGGTAGGAGTTGTCTTAGCATATCTTGTGCTATACTTTGACGCAAGCTTCTAATTCACAATTCGCACAATATCATGTCATCACAGCAGCACTAATAGATGAACATGGGAGCACAAGGTCACTAAGCCACAAGTTCCGGATTCAGTGTATGGCAGTTCTTGTTCCAAGGGAATCTCTGGTGCTGCAAGCCCTGGAAGATTTTCAGACACGGCCACCAGGACTGCTGAAGGGAAGGCAGTGCTTCAATCTGACAGATGGTGGGCAGCAAAGGAGGGAGGTGAGGATGGAGTTTCTCTTGCAGTGGTAGGAGTGAAAAGATAGGGGGCTCAACTGCACAGAGGAGAGTGAAATAAGAAAACACCGCCGATGCCGGGGATCGAACCCGGATCTTCCGCGTGACAGGCGGAGATACTGACCATTATACTACATCGACACGTCCAGTTTGTAACATAAATGTTTTTGACCCTGATCAAACATTTTCGTCTAAATCATCCAGTCACGGCAGTAGGTCAAACGGTCATGTCGCCTCCAAACCGCAAAACTAGCATCAGCAGCGGGAGCAGCGCCATTTCCGCTCGTCAGAATCGCGCCAGCAATTCGAACTTACGTCCCGTTCTCCAGCAGCATCCCCCTCAGCACCCGCCACGTCAGCCACCGTACCCTAGTCCCCCCTATCCGCCAGGTCCCCCGTACCCGCAAGGTCCGCCTTACTCGCAAGGCCCGCCATACCCCCCGCAGCAGCACCCGCCCGCGCCCTACCCCACCCCTTATTCTCATCCTAGCGCGCACCCGCACGGGCCGCCTCCCTTCCCGCCCTATGCGAACGGCCCTCCCCCCGCCCCCGGCCCCGCAAATTACGGCCCGCATTACCCGCTTCCCGCTGGCGCGGGCCCTCCGCCGTACGCACGCGGATCTCGCGGCGGGCCCTCCGTCGGGGAAGATGGTTACGGATCGGACGGCCCGTTACACGGTTACACGTCGGACGAGCCGCCGTTTCGCCGCGGCGGCGCGTACGGTCGTGGCGCGAATGGCAGCCCTATGGCGGCGCCGCCGAGATTAGTGTCCTCAAAGGGCCGCGCGACTCGGCAATGGTGCGGCGGCAGATTATGCTCGCCGTCGCGCCTGCTTCTAATCTTCATCCCCGCTTTAGTGTTCTTCTTTATAATGAGCGGGCGGAGTCCCGAGAATTCGCGCAAGGTAGAAGCGGAGGTGTGGGGAGGGGCGGAGGGTGTGGGTGCGTGGCTCGCGGGCGCAGGCGGGGCGGAAGCGCGCGCAGGCGTAGGAGCAGGCGCAGGCGCAGGGGGGGAGAAGGATTTGCGGAGGGTGCGGTGGAGCAGCGAGGTGGAGGCGGGGGTGGTCGCGGGGGCGGTGGAGAAGGGCTTTAAGATGGATCTTAGCACTGCGCGGACTAAACTCCGCACAGGTAGGGGAGAATAGGGGACTGGGGAGGGGAAAGGGGAAGGGGGAAAGGGGAAGGGGGTAAGGGGAAGGGGGAAAGGGGAAGGGGGAAAGGGGAAGGGGGAAAGGGGAAGGGGGAAAGGGGAAGGGGGAAAGGGGATGTGTTGAGGCGTGGGGAAGGGTGGGGCCGTGGAGAAGGGCTTTAAGATGGATCTAAGCATGGCGCGGACTAAACTGCGCACAGGTAGGGGGGTGGAGGAGGCGAATGAGAGCAGGGGAATGAGGCATGGGAAAGAGTGGGTCGTGGGTAATCGAGGGCTTTAAGGTGGAGCTTAGGGCGTGGTTCCTACGGTTGCGAGCTGCTATAAGTTCGTCCTGTCAGTCAGAGTGGTATAGTGGTTCTTTTTCAGCCGGTCAGAGTTTTTTTTAGCCTGTCAGAGTGTGATGCACGGAAGGCGCCGCGCCAGCATGGACTTCAACAACTCCATCTCCATCCGTCCCTCCCCCCTTGTTCCCTCCCTTGTTCTCCAATCCTTAACCTCGGAACCTTCTTAATGCCGTACAGATGCTGACGTGGAGGGGGCCAACATCGACCACAACAACTCCATCACCAACCCCTGCTTGACACGTCACTCGCTGCTGCAGCGGGCCTATCAGGAGGCGCCACCTGGCGCGCTCTCAGCGCTCGGCCAGCCGCGATTCGTCCAGCGCAGCGGGTACCGGCTGTCGGCCAATGAGTTCGCAGCAATCGGGATGAGCCTACGAGTCATCAGAGAGAATGGGGATGACGGGGTGAGTGTATGTAGGAGAATGCATTTGAGACGACTCAGGGGGAGAAGGCAGGCGAAAGTCTGTGTGGGAGAGAGCGGGGGAGGGTAGGCGGAGGGGTAGTGGGTCTGTTTGTCCAGCACAGCAGGTACCGGCTGTCGGCCAATGAGTTTGCAGCAGTCGGGATGAGCCTGCGCGTTATAAGAGAGAATGGGGACGATGGGGTGAGTGAATGGGAGGGGAATGGGTGGCTCTCCGTGAATGACAGGGGATGAGGAGACTGCCGGCTGTTAGCTAATGATTGCCGGCTGTTAGCTAATGATTGCCGGCTGTTAGCTAATGATTGCCGGCTGTTAGCCAATGAGTGCCGGCTGTTAGCCAATGATTGCCGGCTGTTAGCCAATGAGTGCCGGCTGTTAGCCAATGATTGCCGGCTGTTAGCCAATGAGTGCCGGCTGTTAGCCAATGAGTGCCGGCTGTTAGCCAATGAGTGCCGGCTGTTAGCCAATGAGTGCCGGCTGTTAGCCAATGAGTGCCGGCTGTTAGCCAATGAGTGCCGGCTGTTAGCCAATGAGTGCCGGCTGTTAGCCAATGAGTGCCGGCTGTTAGCCAATGAGTGCCGGCTGTTAGCCAATGAGTGTGCAGCACGATTGTTAAGAGAAAACGGGGATGATGGGGTGAGTGAGGAGGGGAGGGAATGGTGAGTGTCCACAGGTGGTTGAGAGGGGAATGAGTGAGAGGGGAATGAGTGAGAGGGGAATGAGTGAGAGGGGAATGAGTGAGAGGGGAATGAGTGAGAGGGGAATGAGTGAGAGGGGAATGAGTGAGAGGGGAATGAGTGAGAGGGGAATGAGTGAGAGGGGAATGAGTGAGAGGGGAATGAGTGAGAGGGGAATGAGTGAGAGGGGAATGAGTGAGAGGGGAATGAGTGAGAGGGGAATGAGTGAGAGGGGAATGAGTGAGAGGGGAATGAGTGAGTGAGAGGGGCGATCCTTTGCCATGTGTCTCCCAATCTCCGCCTTGTGCTCCCTCACACACCTCCCCCTTCTTCTCCCTCTCGCTGTTAGTGATTTTTGAAAGAAAATAAAAGGTTGATTTTGAGAAATTTCAAGAAGTGTTATTTGTGATTTCTAAAGAAGGTTATTTTTCAGAATTCTCAAAAGGTGATGTTTTAAAATGCTAAAATTTCTCCCTAACATATTCCCCCTTTATTCCCATTGGTCCTCGTCAGCTGGGCCACTGCTACTGGGTGGGGCGGGACGGGCGGCATTTGCAGGGCAGGCTGAGGGGAATTTACCCTGGAGAACACCATTTATTGATGTATGAGACGGCAGTGTACCACTGTAGACTCATGGCGGAAACCACAGGGGATGGTGGTGGCACTGCAATGATCCAACTAGGTGAGTGCAGTACGGGACTGGCTGGGAGTAGGTAAGGGTGTAAACGAATGCTTGGGTATTCGGATGGTATTCAGCATTCGACGAATACCGAATTCGAATCGAATGTTAATTTAGCAATTATTCGGTTATATTTGTGCGTCGGATATTCGACCGCGTCGAATATTCGTGCGTCGAATATTCGTAGCTCGAATACCGAATATTCGTTTCAATATCCGGATGTTGATTAAACCTTCTTCCACTGCTTCGCGATGTGCGCTTTGCATGCCGTCACCACCTATCTGAAGACAAAGCCGCGACATGAGTCTACATCGCGCGCTACGACTCCGGCTCCAAGATTGCGGAGGGATAGGATACGTTATTATGCTTGGGGTGAAGCAATAGCTAGCAGCCTAGCACACAAGAGACTTGCGATCGAGTTTGACTTACAGATCGTCGATATTGAGAGTATGCGGCAGACACTAGGTACATGTGTGTTGCTTGGAAGGGTTGGTGCAGTACAGAGAGTTCCAAGGCGTGGATTGTGCAACCTAGAATTGCGCAACCAGTTGCGCGCGGTGTTGGCAACTTTCTTGCCTGGATAAAAGTTTGCTAACAAACTTCGTGATCTTTGCGAAACCCGTAACCATGCTGTATTGCGCAGCTCAGTCGGATTGCGCAACCCTAGACTCCACGCCCTCAGCCACACCTGTTTGTGTCGCAATTTGCGGGCAGGTTGATGCAAATTTTGTTGTAGCAATATCGCGCGTTGCACAACAACTGTACTAAATGTTTGGGTCAGCGTCGCAACGGCCGAAACAGTCCCTTCAATAACACATGGTCGGTTGCCAGTACCACGGAAACGATTCCGCATGGGGCGAGCCAACCATGAAGGGCGATGTGTCACGTCGCAAGGTGTGTTGGCACGTCAATTCCTAAACTTTGGGAGTCGCCCAAACAGACTTCACGCTTATTGGGTAACCCATCCCAATGTGCAACGTAAACTGCACGCATATGGAATGGCGGGGCTTCGCAATTGGTTTCATTACACGAACCTGTATGGAGATTGAACAGGTGTCTAATGATCCCGTTGCCGAAACTTCCCGCTTACAAATTTGACGATTGGAATGCCAGTGGAATTTGCGCCGTGTGGAATGCGCAGCGAGAAGAATGCGGCTCGCAAAAATTCAACCCACCGTCACGACCATGCAGAATTCCTCCCGACACTCCAGAGAGGCAATTTCAGCTCCAAAGAGCACATATTTGGGTTCCCCGCTTATCCTACCATTCACACACTCCAAATCTCCTCCCGGATGCTTACAGATTATGAACCATTACTTCCGAAGTATTGACGCCAGCCTCATCTTCTGCCTCCAGCCTCGTCTAGCACTTTCTTTGTAGCCATGGCTTCTACCACCTTGCAGTCTACGCTAGGTGGTGTTAGTGCACCACGTCCTTCAACAAGCGTGCCTACCACTAGTCGTTTAACGGCCGTCCCTACTGCCCTTAATGCCAACCGTCCTGCTGATGCTGACTCCAACATGCCGCCGTTCAAGAAAGCCAAGAAGCGGACCTCCCTCATGTGGATGTTTTTTGAGAAGATCGAAGGGACGGAGAAGGCACGGTGCATGCTTTGTTCGAACAAGGGGTCGAACGTGACCATCTCGTGCAATGGCGGCTGCACCACCGCAATGAAGAACCATGCTACGAGTCACCACGCACCTCAATATACAGCAATCACTGGTGAGGATGTGGGAGCTGGTGGTAACCAAGACATTGGGAAGGCGATTCGTGGGAACACCCCGTACACGGACAAGGAGAATAGGAGGCGTTTGGTGAGGGTGATTCTCAAGGGGATTCTCTCCTTTAGGGCTCTCACTTGCCCCGAGTTGTTGGCATACTTGCAGTGGCTTGAATCGAAGGTAACCATCCCTTGTCGGGTTACGATTGCAAGTGACATTCACACAGCTTACAACGAGCGGATGGTGTTGATGAGGATGCGTTTGCAAGGTTTGCCATCAAAGGTATCCTTCACGTGTGATATTTGGACGGCGCCCAATTTGGATGCCTACATGGCTATCACGGCGCATTGGCTTGATGAGCGCTTTAACAACAAGAGCATCTTGTTGGACTTCATCAATCTCAAGTTCCACCACACGGGTGAGGCCATCAAGAACGCGTTCGTGCGAGCGGTCTTTGATGAGTGGGGTCTTGAGAGCAAGATCATGGCCATCACCATGGACAATGCCTCCACCAATGAGAAGATGGTGAAACTTCTCGTCAAGGATCACGACTTTTCCTTTGGAAGGTACATAAGGTGCTTTGCTCATGTCATCCAACTTGTGGTGGAATGCATCTTGAAATCACCTAAGGTGGATGGTGCACTCACCAAGGTCCGCGGGCTTGCAACCCACCTTAGTGGGTCAAGCTTGAGGCATGATAAGTTTGAGGTACATTGCATTGAGAAGGTGCAAGGGCATAAGACCTCACTTGCTCATGACACCCCAACGAGGTGGGGAAGTGCCCATGCTATGGTGGTAAAGGCACGTAAGTTGAAGGCGGCCATTAACTCCTACTTGGTGGCCGAGGTGGAGGAGGAGGTATTTGAGGAGCTCCGAATGAGGGATGACGAATGGAGCACCCTCTTCGTTCTTGAGAAACTTCTCGCTCCGTTTGCCGAAGTGCAACGGATTTTGGAGGGGTCTAGATACCCAACAACTTCCTTGTGTGTTCCATTGGTGAACTCACTCATGGATTTGTTGGAAGCCCAGGTGGCCGCCAGGGGCGAGTTTTGGGAGCCATGCAAGAATGCTCACGCCAAACTGAAGAACTACTACAACCGGACTTCGGAGGACTACACTATTGCAACCCTTTTGGACCCTAGGTTCAACCTAGGGTACTATGCTTTGGGTGCAATGGAGGGGGGCGCTCATCATGCGGCAACCTCCGTGGTGAAAGCCACAATTACCGAGGCTTACGCCGAGTACGAGGAGGTGGCGCCGCATGAGGAAGTCATGGGCGAGAGTTCAAGCCCTCTTGGAGGGGAAACGGTGGAGGGAGGGAGTGGGCAATCAACGATCTTTGGCGGCATCTTCTCAGTCCGTGGGAGGGGGGAGTCAAGTGGAGAGAATCAACTCTCTAAGTACCTTGACGAGGAGAGGGTCACCGTGGAAAATGAGAAGTCGGTTGCTACATTCAAGGATTGGTGGCGTCTCCATTGCCATCACTACCCGAATGTTGCAAGGATGGCTCGTGATTACTTGGCGATTCCGGGAACGTCCGCCGACTCCGAGCGCTCATTTTCCATTGCACTGCATTTGTTCACGGATTTCAGGCATAGTTTGAAGCCCGAAACTGCTCGGGCGTGCTTATGCTTGCGGTCTTGGAACGCTTTGGAGGATGAAGAGACTTCCACCAAGGGGAAGTAATTCAGATGCTGGAAAGCCTCAACTGAGCAGAGGTAGTTAGAGTTCTATGGAGCTGAGATTGTCTCGTGCTATGTGTGTTAGAGCCTTTGCCTCTCTATTCAACCACCACCTTGTTATGCAATGTCATGCTATAATAATAAATCGCGCTCCATGTTTTCAACTTGGGATGTGAAAAAAGGGCATAGGCCAGGGTTTCGACTCGCTGGTGTGGGGAGTGAGTAAATACTTCTCTGGTTTCGACAAGTTGGTAAATTCGTCCCACTGGTTAACCTTGATTTATACCAGCATGCCCCTATAAATACACAATTTTTTTGTGACCACCATACCACTCGAATACATTCGCATTCGGACGGTATTCGGCACCATTCGGATGGTATTCGTATTCGTGAAGGACCTACCATTCGATCAAATACCAAAACACCAAATATTCGGCTAATATTCGGTTACAACATTCGTATTCGTATTCGTACTCGAATTTACACCCTTAGGAGTAGGGCTCACGCTAAGTTTTTTTGGAACTCTGCTTCTCCTGGATTCCCCACCCCCCTGCACCCGGATTCGTCCGGGTTTCAGGGTAGTTGATTTTCTGTTTCATCCGGATTTGGGTACGAAGTTACTTTTAGCCGAGTTACAACAAACATTGACTTGGGCAGGCGGGGTGGAAGTCGCGATATTAAAGGTCAATGCGGGGTAAACTTTGCGGCGTGCGAAGATGGCAGAGTGGCTTTTGGGTGTACCACGTTCTGAGGGTTGTTTTATTTCGCTACTCCTTTTAACAGCTCGGCTAAAGTACGGTGTGATAGGCTTTTTGTTTTTTTAAAGAATTCTCAAAAACTTATTTCGCTGCTTCTCTCAACAGCTCCGTTAAAGCTGGGTAGAATTAGACGCAGGGCATGGAGGAATGTGAGATGAATGCCTCTTCTGTGGCTGGCAGGTAGCAACCTTTGCAACCTTCTGGGTTGGGGGGGGGGGGGTGGTTGGTTGGGCTGAATCCTTTTGGCTGTTTGGGAATTAGCCGAATTTCCTTCATTGGGTGGGTGGGCATGGGGGGGGGGGGGGGGGGGTTTGAGGGAGGAGGAATTTCCCAGGCGGTGAGGGACTTAGCCCATTATTCTGGGTTTCCGGGGGGTGTGGGTGGGAGGAGTATCTCTGTGTGGAAATTACTTCGTCGAATTCTCTGGGTTGCGGGTTGAACTTAGCCGAATTTTCTGCGTTCGGGGGGTCTCTGGGGAATGTTTCTGGATGTTGGGGACTTAAACAAAAAATATGTCTCTGGCGCCGGGGAAGAAAGGGGGGGGGGTGGTGAAGGGGGGGAGGGATGGGGTGGGTGCATCCGGATTGCCTTCTCCGCGAAATTCTGATCCGCCCGGACCCCCCCGCTACACCACTTCCTATAAATTCCGGAAACCCCGATAACTCTACCCGTTCAAATTCCGGAACCAGGCCAAAGCCAACTCTTAATGTTTTTGTTTTTTTCCGGGTAATTACCCTTGAAAAACGAGCCCTGCCCTGGCCGGGAGGCGTTAACAGTGTTTCAGCTTTTGAGTCGCCTCAAAAGGGCGGTATTAATAAAGTTTCACTGGGTCCGACTCCCCTCCCTCCACTCCCCTCCCCTGCAGACCGTATGGATGTGCCCATCTACAGTGAACCGCCTGCACCAGCATCAGCCCTCTCCTCCCTGCTCCCCGCACACCCTCACGGGCAAGCACATGCCACCACGCATGCCGCCACGCATGCCCCGGCCCATGGCAATAAACGGAACGCCACACAACCGCATAAACAAGGCTACGGCTTCACGCATTGGCAAGCGATTGGGCATGGGCCATCTTTTGAGTACAATCTGGCCTTCTGCTCGTTCCCCATGTACCGGGACCTCAACCCCTCCGCGCTGCACGTGTGGCTGCAGGTGCGTTCTCCCCTCCCTTTTTTCTCTCCCCTTCTCTTTCACTACCCTCGCTCTCCTGCTCGTCTCCCCTCCTCCCTCTCTTGCTACCCGAGAGCTCAATCGTTCCACTCTTAACGCATTCTCCACGCAACACATGTGGGCTGCAACTGCAATGTCCATCCCTCCCATCAGCCATGCCATGCCATGCCATGCCATGCCATCCCATGCCTTGCCATGCCATCCCATGCCATGACATGCCATGCCATGCCATGCCATCCCATGCCTTGCCATGCCGTGCCATGCCATCCCATGCCTTGCCATGCTGTGCCATGCCATCCCATGCCTTGCCATGCCGTGCCATGCCATCCCATGCCATGCCATGCCATGCCTTGCCATGCCTCTCTCTAACCTTCCTCCCACCTAACTCCATCGCACCCTGCTCTTCCTACCACCATCCCAAGGTGAAGGTAGCGGCCCCATCTCTCATCTCTTTCCCCAGAAGTATTCTAGATGCCTCTCCCTCATGCCTCCCATGCCTCTCCCTCATGCCTCTCCCTCATGCCTCTCCCTCATGCCTTCCATGCCTCTCCCTCATGCCTCCCATGCCTCTCCCTCATGCCTCTCCCTCATGCCTCCCATGCCTCTCCCTCATGCCTCCCATGCCTCTCCACTTTTTTCGGGTGCCTTTTTGTGTTGCCTTCTGAGTCAAGTCAAAAGTCCCATCTCTCGTTTGCCATCTCTCGTTTGCCATCTCTCGTTTGCCATCTCTCGTTTGCCATCTCTCGTTTGCCATCTCTCGTTTCCCATCTCTCGTTTCCCATCTCTCGTTTCCCATCTCTCGTTTCCCATCTCTCGTTTCCCATCTCTCGTTTCCCATCTCTCGTTTGCCATCTCTCGTTTGCCATCTCTCGTTTGCCATCTCTCGTTTGCCATCTCTCGTTTCCCATCTCTCGTTTCCCATCTCTCGTTTCCCATCTCTCGTTTGCCATCTCTCGTTTGCCATCTCTCGTTTGCCATCTCTCGTTTCCCATCTCTCGTTTCCCATCTCTCGTTTCCCATCTCTCGTTTCCCATCTCTCGTTTGCCATCTCTCGTTTGCCATCTCTCGTTTCCCATCTCTCGTTTCCCATCTCTCGTTTCCCATCTCTCGTTTCCCTTCTCTCCCCTTTCGCCCCGCTCTCCCCTCCCTATTCTCTACCCCCTCTCTTTCTCGTCTGGTGGCCTGCCACTCTCTTCAGGTGGAGTATTTCGGCTGTCTCCTCGGGCTGGCTTCTGACCTGAGCCAACTGAAAGGTCCCCTTTCTCATCTCTGTTCCCTCGCCCCCCCCTCAGGTGGCCTACCACTATCTCAGGGTGGAGTATTCGCTGCTTCCTGTTTCTATCCCTTACGGCTATTTTTGAGGCGCCTCAAAAATAGACTCTTTCTATCCCTTTCGGCACCCCTCTCGCACTGCTTCGATCCTCCCAGTTCCCCTGCCATTCCACCCCTCCCACCCCCTTAGGTGGCCTACCACTATCTCAAGGTGGAATACTTTGTGCTTAGCGACGGGGGCTCCGTGGACGACACAATAATGAAGGTGCGATATAATTGACACTATATTGAAGTTTGGGGATTTCTAGAATGTAACGGAGATTTGTGATGTGGCTAATTGTGAAGTGGACCCCTGTGTCACACCACAAAGCCTAATGAACCGCTGATGAAGGCTCTGCGGGTTTGATCCCCGTAAGCCGAAACATGTTTGCGACCTGGTAATTTTGAGTGGAACGATTTTTCGTGCGATTCTCTTGCTTGGATCTCTAACTCTTGTTTCAAACTTGCTCAAGCGAACTGCTTCGCACTGCTGCCCTTCCTACCATGACTCCATGAGTGACGACGACCACTGGAGCCCTGTGTCACACCACAAAGCATGTGTTTACTTGCTCTTTCTAGAACCAGTTCGCTTGCTGGGAAACTATTCAATCTCGTAGGACCTCAAGACCGTTTTTTTTTTTTTTTTTTTTTTTTTTTTTTTTTTTTGGTAATAATTTTATTTTCTCCTTTTTAAACTTCCCATCCTCCTTCCTTTCATCTCACCCCATTCTCTTTACCTCTCGCAGGTCCTATCCCACATCGTAACTGCCTAGATAATGAAAATAATCGACATTCGCGTTTAACTACATTCTTGCACTGCCTTCTCCCTCCCCTTTTTTCTTCCCCTTCCCCGACCCAGGTCCTATCCCCCATTGTAGCTGTCTGCATTATGGAGCTCATTGATACTCACGGTGCGAAGCATTTGAGAACAAGCAGAACGTTAACCCTAAACGGCTGTGTGTATTTCCTCTGCCATGTTGTCCGCTGTCTCTTACCTTTCCCGTACCCAGGTCCTATCCCCCTTTGTAGCTGCCAGGATAATGGGAAGCATCGACATTCGCGGCGCGTATGCGTTCGAAAACAATCAGAACGAAATGATTGCTCAGTCTAAATGATTGCATGTGTCGCCTCTGCCCTCCCCTTGTTTCTTCACTTTCCCCCACCCAGGTCCTATCCCCCTTTGTAGCTGCCCACATTATGGAGATAGTCGACATTCGCGGCGCGTACGCATTCGAGAACAAGCAGAACGTGCTCACCCTAAACGACTGCATGTACCGCCTGCGCCCCGCCGCCCGCTGGGTGCTTTTCATGGACTTCGACGAGCTACTGTACATCGCGCCGCCGCCCGCCCCGCCGCCCGAGCCAGAAGAGGAGGAAAACGGCGAGTACACTCCGTCAGGCCGCAAGCGAAGAAAAAAACGACGAAGGCACACCAAGCCGAAACCTGTCGATATAGCAGGGGGGTCGCTACAAGAACTCCTTAAGAAGCATAACGGGTCGGCTTTTATCACGTTCGGGAGTGTGTGGTGGTCGGTGGAGTACTGTAGACCACCCACTCCCTCTCTTGCGCTCCCCGTTCAGCGGATGCGGTTCCACTGGCCCCACGTGTACTGTGTGGGGGAGAAGGACATGGGGTACTCGCCCTCACAGTGCCTCAACTTCTACGGTCATCGGAAGTTTCTTGTTGACCCACAACAAGTGTGGGCAGTGCAGGTGAGACTGGTGCAGGCCTTTTTTTCTCCCACCAACCCCACGTGTACTGCATGGGGGAGAAGGACATGGGGTACTCGCCGTCCCAGTGCCCTAACTTCTATGGGCACCAGAAGTACTGCTGGTTGACCCATGACAAGTGTGGGTCGTGCAGGTGAGACTGGTGCAGGTGAGGCTGGTGGAGGTGTGACTGGGGCAGGTGAGACGAGGGAGAAATCCATGACATGTATGGTCACGCGTAGACCACTCACTTAACACTTGTTGAAGGCGCATAATAGTTGTGTCGCGAAAAAACTGTAGTCGTGTAATATCTGTGCCGTGTAAAATCTGTGCCGTGTGGATGGAGAGCACCCCTACCTGTGCCTCCCCCCATGCCTGTATGTTCATCGCTCCATTGATCCCTGAGGCGGCATTCATATGAGCGTGCACGTTTTTTCCTTGTAACGTGTTTCATGGTCTGACCACCTCGCCTTTCCATCCCCATCTCTCTCCCGCTCGCTCTCCTTTTCGCTCTTCCTCTCTGCAGGTTCACCGCCCCATGGAGCCATTGGAGGGTGGTGTTCCCTTCATTTGAGCATTTCGGGGTGCATATTGCGTGTTTCATCCATCCCCCATCTCGCCCCCCTGCGCAGGTTCATCGGCCCATCGAGCCATTGGAGGGCGGTGTTCACTAGAGCGCTTGGGGGCGCATTGAGCCATCCATCCCCCAAATTCCTCTCCCCCCGCAGGTTCACCGCCCCATCGAGCCACTGGAGGGCGGTGTTCACTTGACCTTGCACGTTTTCCCCTTGTAACACGTTTTAACACCCCATGTCTTATCCACACGTCTTCCCATCCGCCTCCCTCTCTCCCCCCACAGGTTCATCGCCCCATCGAGCCATTGGAGGGCGGTGTTCACTTGACCCCCGATGTAGCCTACCTCAACCACTTTCAGGTTCGCACCAATGTCTGATTGCCTCTCACAAGTAGGAATCGTTTTTCACCCTTAGCGATGTACTTCGTTCTGCCTGGTGGTTTAGTCCCTTGGGATCTTACACAATATGTGCTTCTATGCTCCATGCAGCGTCAGACATTTTTTCCACGAGCTGGTTCTTGGCCTATACGCACACGTACAATCCTCTTCACCATTATCCATGTTTTTTTCCAGATCGTATGCATGCTTACAATTGGTATGATTGCAAACAACTCAATGGTGTCACATTTACATTGCCCTCTTTCTCTTTATTTACTTCCCCTTCAAATGTCGTCTCTCGTTGCCCTTTCTCATGTGTAGGGCCTGCTACGTGCCAACTTCACATTGTGCTCTCAAGAAGTGCTTCCAGGGAAGGAGCCTGATTGGTGGACGGAAGACAGCTATCTGGCTGAGCTAGTGGGCACCATGATGAGGAAGGGCCCTCCTAAGAAACGTCAACGTTTTTTCTGAATACCTTTGTTGATGTCGGCTGGAGTTGAAGGGACAAGGCGCATAAAAGGGTTTGTACATGCCTTCGAAAGGTAGTCTAATAAGCTTTTAACTATGGGACTGAATTATTTGGTAGGGTGGATGAAAGTGGGACTTGGTGTACGCATTGACTAACAACTTGTACAGCAATCGCTCGCAGTTTTTTCTACGTCTCCCTGACTCGGACGCAACCTCCCCTTAGCTGCCGCGGGACGGTTTGGATTGGATTTGACGTCTCGTCTTGTCTTCCGCTGATTGTTGTTTGCACACGATGCCGTCACTGCTCACTGTTCCCGAAACTGCCTCCTGCTTTGTCGTACTGTGTGGGTAACTCGCAAAACTGTCTTCCCGTCGCAGCGCAGGTCTCACCTCGGGCTTGATGCCCCCACACGCAAGTCGACTTGCGAAACCTGTGCGATAACCATCCAACCAAATGCGCTAATGCGAAGACGTTTGTTGCGAAAGACAGAAGTTATACGCAGAAACCACTGGTGCGCCTGCCCCCGATTGCCCGCCCATCCCCCATTGAGCAGCACCACACGCCGCTAAGCGACGAAGGGCCATCCATGCATGGCGCTTGAAACCTGGGCTGTCGCTCGCTCCCCTGCTTGTTCGGCCAGCTTGGGGTTGAGCTTCGCGTTTGCGCTGGCGGCGAGGTGGGGGAGGGGCGGGGGAGGGAGGGGGGGGGGGGGAGATGATAATGAGGCAGGCTGCTGGTTGTGGAGAAGGTTTGGGGGAAATGGCGGGAATTGAGGGCACCTGGGGGAGGGAGGGATGGTGGGTTTCTGGACGGAAAACAGATGAACACACGCACCTCTGCTCTGCTCACGGGATCCGTTCCGCCCAGTCAACTGCCCTGCTCACTTGCCAACTCAGTGTACGAGAGAAAAGGGGGAGGCAAGAGGGAGAGCTTTGGGCAAGTCCCCGTTAGTAGCCGTACAGTACTGAATGTGCGTGTCAGGTCACTCTCAACGCACGAAGAATCCTGAGAGTAATCATGGACACGTGGAGTGAGACGGCGCGGCGGCGCGGGAGTGGAGGAGGGAAGGAAGGCGACGAAATAAGTAACGACCGTATCCGCGTCGCATACAGTTGTCAGCCGAGGTACATATGTAGCGCTAATACGCAGAAACCGCGTCGAGTGCAACCGGACCTGAGGCGGCGAAGCGGCCTGAAGCGAGTCAGCTGACTCGAATCAGCGAGACTGAGAAGAGCCTCACAACGCAAGCGGACACTGTGCATTCGAGGGCCCGGACGGGGGTTGCGCGCAGTATAATAAAGGCGAGAACACGGGTGCTGCATCGCACTTCTCTCTCCTCGTCTCGCAGCCTGCATCGGCGCGTTAGTCCGTTCGAGTTTCATACGTCTCGTTGGTAGTGCTAAAAGAGCTTGGGATCACTCGGGCACCACTGCCATTGTAGGAGCTCGTGCTAAGTGGGTGCTGAGTCGCTACTAATTCGCACATATCAAGCAGCTGACTGACCCAGGACGCGTCGATTTTCTCCAGGTCGACGCGACGTTTAGGGTTTCGTAACAGCGACGCGAAGGACTGGCTAGTTGGGAGGGCGAAAGCCGAATTAGTAGCACAGGGAATTTGCTGCGGAGAAAAATTAAGTTATTCCCGTGGGTGGTGAAAGAAGGAACCGCGAAATATTTCGAGGCTCCTCAATATTCTATTTCGAGTTTCACCTGGAAATCATGTCTCCCAGCGCGTTGCGAAAGCTATTCGCGGCATCGACCGTGCCTCTGGGGACCATCTACAGCGTTGGCGAAGGTCGAACTGTCGTCATCGGGCTGGACGGCTGTCGCGACTGTCGCAACGCCTTCGCACAGTGGTTGCGCGACGGCCAGCAACCGGACGACCGAATCGTCGCAGCGATCGCCGGCGGCAGTCGCCACAACCGGTCGTCGTCGTTGACGTCACTGGACGCCGCGCCTTCGTCGCAGAGTCGCACAAGCAAGCGCGGCGGCGACTCGGGCGACGTGCGACAAGCGACGAAGGCAGCAATCACCAGTAGTGGTAACGCGATGGCGGCAGCGAGTGGAAAGGCGACGGCCGTCGTGAAGAACACAGTGGTCGTGCCGGGTTTACCGCTCGAAGCCGATTTCGGCGATTGGGACAAGAAGTCGCGATCGACGCTCCTGAAGCTCGCCGCCGTTGGATCGCAAGAGAAGGTTCGTTTCGAGGCCATTCGCCTGCCGTCCGCCGGCACAGCTCTCTCCTTCGCGCGTTCCCTCGTCGACTGCTGCCACTCCGTCGACGCGCACCTCCTCCTCCTTCCCGCGCACGACTGCTCCGCGCTCCTCCCCTTCCTCCCCTCGCTCCCCCTTTCCTCCGCTTCCTCCGTCTCCGCCTTATCCGCTTCCTCCGCCTCCGCCGCCGCGATCCCCTTCGCCTCCGCCGATTCGCGCGCGCGTCGCGTTGCGTCGTTCTGCTCCGTAAATGCTCCCTGTCCGGTCGAATTGATTGGCCGGTTGAGCAGCGGTGACGCGAGCGCAAGCGGGCGGGAAAGCTGTGGCGGTTCGGCGAGGGACTCTACTGCGAGAAAAGAAATTGCTAATTTCGTTACAGGAGCGCATGAGAGGTGTAGCGATGTGCAAGATTGCAGCAGCAGTAACGGGTCCAGCAGTAACGAGGATGCAGATAGGGATTTATTTAGCAGCAGCAGCAGCAGTGGCAGCAGAAGCAGCGACTGTAGCACCAGCAGCAGCCCTTCTAGGGGCAGGGAGGACAGCTTGGTAGCAGAAGCACTTTCGATTCAGTCACAGTCACAAGCCACAGACATAGTGCAGGAACAAAGCCAAAGGAATTACCGAGGCAAGCAAACTTTTGTTGGCAGCTTCTTCCTTATCCGCGCAGGTTCGAGAAGCCGGACCAGCAGCAAGCGGGCTCAGGTTCGGCAGTTGGTTCGGCGATGGAGTGGAGGTGGGGAGAGCAAAAGGGAGGCAACCTTCACTAGCCGTGGATATACTTTATCAGTGTTCAGGGGCAAGGACGGAGTGGCCTCAGTTGGTTGATGCCAGTTCCCTCCGTGTGCTATGCTAGCTGGCTTCCACTGCATTTAATTTATTCATCCACCACCAATTCAGAGTTCAGCGCTTGGATCAAGGCGTAAACGAACATTCAGGAACCTGTTCGCTCTTGAGAGCCCGAAATGTGTGAGCGTTCATATATAAACACTGTAGTATGGCTAGGGATCAGGCTACATATGGTACAACATCTAGGTAGATATTGTCAACAAATATAATTATCTAGGCTAGCTAGTTTATATCTGTTATAGCCTTAGTTAGATTAGTTCTTAGAGGGTACAGTCCTACCTTTGTAACCCTCGACATCTTCCCTTAGTGCACCATTCTCTCGACAACCGAACATGGCATCTAGAGCTAGGTCTCGCCCTCTGCTCACGCTTTCGCCGTAGCACACCGTAGCCTAGCGCGCCTCGTCCCTAGTCACGCGCCTCGTCCCTAGTTGCGCGCCTCGTAGCTCGTCCCCTCCCTGCCCTCCCCTGCTCGTCGCGTAGTTTGCGTCAGCTAGCGCCAGCCGCCACCAGCTAGTGCCGACCAGCGCCAGCCGCCGCCAGCCCGCACCAGCTGGCGCCTTCGTTAGTCGCCAGTCCCCCCCTTCCCCGCTCGTTCGTAGCTCGCCTCTCCCTCCCTCGCCCCGCGAGTCCTTGTCGCCGGCCAGCGCTAGCCCGCGCCAGCTCACCAGCGCCAGCCAGCCCGCCAGCTCGCCAGCGCCAGCTCGCCCGCGTTAGCCCGCCAGCACCAGCTCCAGCGCCAGCTCGCCAGTGCCTGCCAGCAGCTTGCCGCCAGCGCCAGCTCTCCAGCGCCAGCTAGCCCGCACCAGCTAGCTTGTGCCAGCTCGCTGCTAGCCGCCAGCGCCAGCTCGCCAGCATTAGCTCACCAGCGCCAGCCAGCAGCTGGCCAGCTAGCCAGCGCCAGCCAGCTCGCCAGTGCCAGCCCGCCGCTTGCCCGCACTAGCCCGCAGCTTGCCGCCGGCTAGCTCGCCAGCGCCAGCTGGCAGCGTCAGTACCTCGTCGCCAGCCCTTAGCGCCCAACGCCCGCTGCCTCCGCTGACCGCCAGCTGCCACTGCCAGCAGCACCAGCTGCACTTACCGCTAGCAGTCAGCGCCAGCACTAGTAGCCAGCACCCGCAGCCAGCCGCCAGCACTAGCAGCCAGCTGCCAGTACCAGCGCCAGTTGCCAGCGCCAGCCAGCAGCCCCCAGCCAGCTCGCCGCTGGCCTGCCAGCTAGCAGCCGCCAGCAGCCGCCCTTCCCCCTACTGCTCCTGCCGCTACAGCACTTGCTGCAGCTGCTCCTCTTGCTTCCGCCGTTGCCGCTGCAGCCACCGCTGCCACTGCTCTTGCCGCTGCCGCTGCTCCTCCCACTGCCGCATCTGCCGCTGCAGCTGCCACTGCCCCAGCTCCTCCCGCTGCTGTCACTGCCAATGCAGCCGCTATGCCCGCTGCTCCTACAGCTGCAGCCGCCACTACCGTTATGCTTGCCGCTGCTGCCGCTAGCCAGCAGCCGCGCCTCACCGCCAGCCAGCTAGCCGGTGGCCCGCCACCATCGCCACCCCGCGCCAGCTAGCAGCAGACGCTGCCACCGCTCCCACTGCAGCACTCTTCACTACTGCCCCTGTAGCAGCTGCCGTCGCTGTCCCTACTCCTGCCGCCTCCGTCTTCACGGCCACAGCTGCCACCACAGCCGCCAGCATGGCGTCGCCCAGCGTCTTCGTTCTGCGCCTGGATGGAGAGGGGTGGGCGGCCGGTTTCGCCGCTTGGCATGAGGCAGCTCTCCTATAGCTCACGAGTCAGCACATCGACGACGAGTCCCTGCCCACGTCACTGGTGAGCTCCCTGCTCTCCCCCACCCATGCACTCTCGCTACTGACGCGGCGCTCGCACAGCAGGCTGCACACGCTGGTGCCCGCACTGCCTACTCGGTCTGGGCATCCCATGACGCCGCTGCTCGTGTAGTCATCCTCAGGTGCCTGCCGATTGACGAGCACTCTCACTTTGTGGGTGCTGCGTCAACCCGCGCCCTCTGGACGACTATCCTTGCTAGGTACTCCACCCCGTCGTCTTCCACTCTTGGTCATCTCCTCCTCCCTTTCTTCTACCCCGACCACACCACTATAGCAGACTTTGTCGAGCACCTGCGTTCCCTTGAGGGCCGCTAGCATGCGACCCGTACTAAGGCCCAACTGACTCTCATCTCGCCCCCCCTTTATGCCACTATCTACTTCCTTGTCACCCGCCTCCCTAACGACCTTGCCCCTGCCCACAACGCAGTCCTTGCTCGCCACCCCTCTAAGCTCACCCTTTAGGGCGCAGTTCCTGTAGATCACTTTGGCGTTCAGATCATTTTTTTAGCGGGTAACCCTAACTCGCGGAAGTTCTGCCAGCAAAATACTGCTTCGGATTGGGTGCGAGCTCGAGAAAATTCATCGCTTGATCATTTAAGCGGCAAAACGATCTACGTGAACCATGCCCTTACTTATTCTCTACCTCCCTGACTGAGTTAGAGCACCATCTCCGTGCCATCGCTGGTTCCACTGGCGCTCCGGCAGTCCCTATCTTCCAGGGCAGCGCTCCCTCCCAGGTAACTGTCCTTCCGTCCGCTGCCTCTGTCGTCGAGGCTGCAGTGGCTGCCTCTGCCCCAGGCGGCTCCTTTGGCGGCAGGGGCAAGGGCAAGGGGGGCAAGGGCCATGGGGGGTCGGTAGCAGTGGGTGGAGGGGGTGCGGGTGGAGACGGAGAGGGTAGTCAGTCGGAGTTTGGGACTGCGTAGTAGCAGCCGCAGCAGCCGCAGCAGCAGCATCAGCCGCAGCAGCCGCAGCAGCAGCAGCAGCAGCAACTGCCGTGGGGGTTGGCGGGCTCTGGGAGTGGTGGCCATGGTGGTGGTCATGGAGGTTGGGCCCCGGGACAGTCAGTGCCCTTGGGGGGGCATGGCTCCATTGCGAGCCAGGGTGCTAGTGGTCTTGTCGGTGCGGCAACCTGCACGTATCGGCTGCTGACCGGCCCCCGAGCAGGCCAGGTCTGCTTATGCCAGGGCCACACCGCCGCCCGCTACTTCCGCCGCCTCGACGATCTCTACCGCCGTCACTTTGGCCTGCTGGTGCAGCTGTCCCTTCCAGCTCCCTTACTGGTCTGCACATCCAATCATTCGCCAGGAACCTAGCGGGAGTCGGTCACCTCTGGGACCGAGGCGTCACCACCACGTTCCCTGGCCATGTGAGACACGCAACTTGCACAGACACAGCCACCGGTCGCCACTAGCCACTTTTGAGCGTAACCCACAGTCCGGTCTCTTCACGCTGCACAGTGAGTCCCAGCCGGCTGCTACGTCTGCTGAGGTAGCCATGTCCTGCTCCTGTCGCTCCCTTGCCCACCCGACCCTCTTGTGGCACCACCGCTTATGTCACCCTACACTCCCACGTCTTAGGCACATATTCCAGCATGGTCTAGTCATTGGTCTCCCTGCGTCGCTCCCCGCCCTATGCACCTCCTGCGTCGAGGGTCGGCAGCGCGCCGCCCCTCATTCCTCCTCGTTTCCTTCTACCACAGCGCCGTTACAAACAATGCACATGGAGGTTTGGGGCCCTACCCCAGTCCATGGTCTTAGTCAGGAGCACTACAATCTCGTCGTCGTTGATGACTTTTTGCGTTTCATCACGGTGTTCCCGTTGGAGCACAAGGCCGATATGCCTACTGTTCTCCTCCCTTGGCTGCTTGCTTTTCGTACCCACCACCGCCTGCTTGTAGTTCGCTTACACTCTCACCGTGGTGGTGAGTTTGCCTCTGGCACTCTAGGACAGTTCTCTCGTGCAGAGGTCATCCGCCAGACGTACACACTGCCGGACTCCCCACAGCAGAATGGGGTTGCTGAGCAACGCATCGGCCTGATCATGGAGGTAGCTCGCACCTCCATGGTCCACGCCAGTGCACCCCATTTTCTGTGGCCGTTCGTCGTGCGCTACGCTGCTCACTTGCTTAACATGTGGCCGCGCTCCCAGCGGCCACAGGTTTCGTCGACCCTCCTGTAGACTGTGTCTCCTGGTGAAGCGTTTGCGTTCCACGCCTGGGGCAGCCTTGCTCACGCCTGCGACACTCGCGCGGACAAGCTCTTAGCCCCTACCCTTGTGTCTTTTTGGAGTTTTTCCTTGACGCTTGTGAGTGGTTGTTCTACCACCCGTCACACCACCATTTCTACCACTCTCGTGACGTTACCTTCGACGAGATGCTCCCCTTCTACAGGCGCTTCCCGCACCGTAGCACCCCTGTGCCTCCTCCTCCTCTCTTCTTTGTCCCTGCCCTGCCTGCCGCACCCCTCCCACCCTGCCCGGCCCTGTCTCGTGTCTCCCACACCACTCAGTTCCTCTCGGTTGCGCTTGTGGGGGATTCGGCTGACTTGGGAGGGGGGGGGGGACTGCTGGGGGCACGCTTGCTGTCCCTGTGGCGCCTCCCCCAGGCTCAGTACCCCAGTCACCTCAGCCGCCTACCCCCTTGCCTCAGTAGTAGCAGCAGCCGCCACAACAGACTGAACGGCAGCAGCAGCAGCAGGAGCAGCAGGGAGCAGTGAGCTTTGGGGGTGCTGGTTCTGTGGGTGTTGGTGTTGGGGGTGCGAGTTTTGGGGGTGCTGACTCTTGGGTTGCTGATTCTGTGGGTGGTGCGTCTGGGGGTGCTAGTCCTGGGGACACTGTTTCGGGGAGTGGCGTGGTAGCAGAGGTCCCGCTTGAGGTGCTGGTGAAAACAGGGAGTAGCAGCAGCCGCAGCAGTAGGCGCAACCGCAGCAGGTGGAGTAGCCGTAGTCTGCCCTTCCTCTCCTTGGTCTTGCTCCTGGTTCTCCTGACCGACCACCTATCCCTCCTCCAGTGCGTGCCCCTATTTTCGACCCGCTGTTCCCTCCCCCGGACTCCTCTCCGGATTGTTTTCCCCCACGCTCTCCTACATCCCTTGACTTGTCCACCTCCCCCACTTGGTCCCCACTCACATGTTCTTCACCACTGGGTTCGTCGTCCCTTAGGTGCTCGTCCTGTCTCTCCCCGTCCTAGTGTCCACCCTATGGTCCTTCATTTACCTGCTCTTCCAGTCCCAATCCTTCCGTTGCCTCCCCAGTCGTCACTCCCATAGTCTCCTACTCCTCCCTCCGACTCTGCTCGCACTGCTCGTCCAGTCCTCTCACGCTTGCTTCCGTTCCTTGTCATTGACCCTATTGCTTCTCTT